AAGATAAGGTATCTGAGTATGTCTGGAATTGTTTCTGCATCTTCTAATCTGTTCCATTGATCCTCTGGTCTTTTTTTTTTCAGTACCATGCTGTTTTTATCACAGTAGCTTTATACTGTAATTTCAAGTCAGGGATTGTGATACCCCTGCCTTGCCTTTGTTACCCAGAATTGCCTTTGCTATTCTAGGTCTCTTCTGGTTTCAAATGAATTTTAGGATTGTTTTCTCTAATTCTATGAGATATGCTATTGGAATTTTGATTGGAATTTCATTAAATCTGTATAACAGTTTCGGAAGTATGGCCATTTTTATTATATTGGTTCTTCTTACCCAAGAGCAAGGGATATTTTTCCATTTTCTGATACCCTCTTCAGTCTTCTTTTTCAGAGTACTGTAGTTTTCAATGTAGAGGTATTTTACATCTTTGTTAGATTGATTCCTAGATATTTCTGTTTTTGGATGCTATTGTGAAAGGTGTTGTTTCCCTAATTTCTCTCTCAGTGAGTTTGTTATTCATATATAGGAGGGCTATGGATTTTTTTTTAAAGGCTATTGATTTTTGAGCATTGACTCTGTATCTGGCTACACTACTGAATTTGCTTATTCAATCTAGGAGTTTTGTAGTGGCATTTTTGGGGTCTTCTATGTAGAATATCATGTCATCTGCAAATAATGATAATTTAATCCTTCCTTTCTTATCATTATTCCTTTTATTTCTTTCTCTTGTCTAATTGCTCTTGCTAAAGTTTCCAGGACTGTGTGGAACAAGTGTGGAGACAGTGGCCATCTTTGTTGTGTTCCTAATTTTAGAGAGAAAGCTTTCAGCTCTTGTACATTTAGTATGATGTTGTCTGTTGGTTTATCATAGATGGCTTTTACCAGATTGAAATAAAGACCATCTATTCCAATTTTCTGTAGGGTTTTTATCATGAATGAGTGACTTTGTGACTTTGTCACAAGCTTTTTCTGCATCTATTGAGATGATCATATGATTTTTGTCCTTGGCGCTGTTAATATGGTATATTACATTTATTGACTTATGTATGTCGGACCATTCCTGCATCCCTGGTGTGAATCCCACTTGGTCATGGTGTATAATCTTCTTGATGATTTGCTGCATTGTTTGAGAGTATCGTATTGAGGATTTTTGCATCTGTGTTCATCAGGGAGATTGGCCTGTAGTTCTCTTTCTTAGTTGGGTCCTTCTCCAGTTTTGGTATCAGGGTAATGCTTCCAGGAATGAATTTGGGAGTACTGCTTCCCTTTCAATTTCGTTAAAGAGTTTGAGAAGTAGTGATGTTAGGTCTTCTCTAAATATCTTGTAGATTCAGCAGTGAATCCGTCAGGGCCTGGGCTTTTCTTTGTTGGTAGGTTTTTAATTACATCTTTGATTTCATTGATTGGTACTGGTTTATGTAGAGTTTTTATATCTTCTTGATTCAGCTTTGTTAATTCATATGTGTGTAGGAGTCTGTCCATTTCTTCTGCATTTTCCGTCTTATTAGAATACAAGTTTTCAAAGTAGGTATAGATGATCTTCTGAATTTCTGCAGGGTGCCTTGTGATTTTACCCTCTTCATCCCTAATTGTGTGGATTTGAGTCTATT